TTTTTCTTTTCAGGATCACACGGACGTCCGCATCTATTTGGGTTTGGTCCTCACGATAAAAGCGTAAATACGTGAACACGATTTGAAACTATTTTTATCCAGTAGTAATCTTTTGAACTTTCTCGAGCAGTTGGCAGTTAGTCTATGACCGATGTTCACGGAAAAGAGCGAGAGAGGGGCAAGAACTGAAAAATAAAGATAGAAAACACAGAGAGGAAGCTTACGGGGTGTGTCCTTTTTCAAAACGTTTATTTGATGACAAGTGTACAAGTGTGTATTTTATTGAATTTAAGTGATAGCGATGGTTAGGCCCGAGAACAAAACTGTCGAAAAACTGCGTCAAAATTGAGGCCTATAAAAAAAATCTAGTGAAACGTAATTATTTTTCAAACTGTTTTTCTTTGTCAAAGAGCATTGATTACTATACAAAACTTTTGTCTAAAATAAAATGCACATTTCAATTGGGTTTTGTATTTCCTTATTTCATTTTCTGAGTTGAAGGAAAGTTGCATTTTTGGGGGGAGGCGGGGGGCAGTTAAAAAACGAAAAGTTTATTCTAAAATTATGAAGACTATACTCATGTGTTGTTGATAAAATATTGCAATATTGTTATAAAGACTGCAAGCAGAATTTGGACACTACTGATCTAAAATCGTAGAAGCCTTATTATTTCAAACAATAAAATCTAACTAAATTAGACGATTTACGAAGCCTGTAAAAATAATGAGAAAAATGGTAAGTTGTATACATTATTCCTCTAGGTTGCCGATAAATGATAATGCTGGTTTCATCCCATTTGAATCTACCCTTATTACTCATGACGACGACACTGAAGACAGTAGTAACACAAAAATTTGAAAAACAAACAGTCTAAGATAGAGCACAACCCCCCCCCACCCCCCACCCCCGCTCCCTTTCCTCCCCTTAATGAGCATTTTTTGTCTTTGGTGTCACATACCCCTATCGAACCTCTTTAATGAAGCACGTTTGGATGCTGATTTCTTTCATAAGAAAATGAACATAAAAATGCACTTTTCTTCTTTTGTTTAGTGCAATGTAACCATGTTATAACGGTCACGGTCTATAAGGGTTCGGCTGACCGATTTTAAGAGCCCTGCAGACCCACATGAACTTTTAACAAATATATGTGCCTAGTGCCAAAATGGTATGTCCGTGTTGAACTTCCGGCTCGATCTGCTATATTGAGTCCATTTGATTTTGTTGAACTATGTGTCCTTTTCTCCAACTTGTCCGGTATAATACCATCGAAGTCGAAGTATACTGGGCCTATGGAAAAGAAAATCATGTCTGTCATCAGAGAAATGAGTGGTTAACTATGATCGTCCATCTCTGATTCAGATTTAGCACTTGAAGAAATCACCACACCAGCTTTTTTATAGTCATCAACAGTCCCCTCACATGATTGGATAATAGAAAAAATATATTCACACGGGAAGCTATGATGCGTCTCTAAATGCACGGGAAAGAAAAAAATCACTTTTAAAAAAGCAGTCCGAGACCAATTAGCCAAACCCACGTACAAAAAAAAACTGTCATCTACTTCGATTTCGTTCTCTTTTTGTCACGTGGTCGTCTTCTGGCTGGCTATCTCAAAAGGTGCACCCTATAGTGAACTGATTAGACAAGCTTACTCTACAGTGAACGAATTAGACAATCTACAACCGAAATGAAATTGTAGCAAAATGGAGTCTAGTCTAGGTTACAGTCATTGACATTCTGTAAGATTGTGCAGAATTGCAGGAAACGGTGGATCTATAGCTATGCATTGGCTTTTCAGCTTTTCAAGAGCGAATCAGATTGATATTAGATCAGAAAAAAGAAGAAAAAAAAGGAGGGGGGTAATCATGGCATTTCAGACCGTCGCTAATAATACTCACACCAAATGATTTGGTAATCGGATAAAGTGGTCGTTTTTATGTCTGGTGTTACAATACAGTCAGAACTAGCTGGCCAAACAGTCTCTCCTTTTTCATATTTCGTCTTATATGAAATGTCTGTCGCAATATAGCATGCACCCCCGCACCAAATTCCCATCTCAGCTCC